ACACATAAAAATAAAAACAGTAAGAAACTTACTTCTGACCACTCAAAGCGCTTTTACACTACATGGCCCTTTTCATACATTCACATTCGATGCACGGCGGGAGCATTTCGGGGTTCAATATCTTGCTTCAACATGTGGCACCAGGAGCTGGGGATTGAACCCACAACCTTCCTATTAGGGGACGACTTGCTCTGCCTCTGCGCCACAGCCGCCCAAATTTAAGTGTTTTCTATTCATGTTAATATATTTAAATATACTTATAACTGTTAATAATTGTTCAATTTGAAGTTCAAATTTGCCTTAGCAATAATAAAAGCTTTCTTTTAATATCCTTGATAGTCATTTTGTGCTTCTTTCAAACAAAAAAAAACCCAACAACTATTGGTTCGGGCACTGGCATCAGTACAGCTTTAAAAGTATAATTTTAGCACCGGTATTAAAAATAAACCAAACAATAACCAACTCTAATCAGACTGCATTAGTTTTATCTAGGTTTACCTAATAAACTGACAGTTGAGTGTATATTTTCTATGTAATGATCAGTACTAAACTTTGCCAAGGTACCTCCAATCACTTCCTGACAGTATTATTGTTGTTTTAGTAGGTGTCCTTTCCCTGACTAGTCTGTATCTTTTGTGTCTTTATTTGCTGTTTTCAGAGTTGAAATGTGCTGATGGGAAGAAAAGCATTTGAAGGACATTAACTTCCACCGATAAGCCACGTCATGAGTTCCTCAGAAAAGGTAAGATAAAGTAGAATTACATTATCACATTAACAGCCAGTATTTTATGAATTGCCACCACATCAACCATCACATACAGAACCACCTGTTGAGTCATCCATTTGTTTCCCTGGCCTTCCCATTTAGTGGTGTAGAGGGACAGTGGTAGGACCTACAGGATATTCCAGCTGTACATTTACACCAGTCTTCTTGTTGTATGTAATGTGTAATTTTTGTGGATCTGTTAGATTAATCATGCTGCTCTGAAATGTATCTTGCTTTGCATTTTGCAATATATATTTTTGTATAACATGTTTTTATGCACTCACATTTGTAAAATATTTTGAAATGAAAAATGAAAACTGTGATGGCACATGACTGGTCATGTGACCCAAATGCGGCCTATTTGGCACACCTGTGAGTGCTCATGCAATTTTGCTTAGCAAACCTGAGTAAGCTGCAAATCCCAGCAAAGTTATTCCCGTGTGTGGTGGTCAATTCTGATTGCTTACTACATGCTCCTGCGACCTACCAGCACCTGACTGTTGTTGGAAGTACAGCCCTAATTTAAAATAATTTAAATAATTTCCCTCTGGGATTATTAAAGTATTTCTGATTCTGATTCTGAAAAAAAAAAATTCAGTCTAACAACAGTCAGAGTAGGGATGCCACCATACCTTACCATACCTTATTCAGAGAGACAGAGACTGCGATGCGTTCATCATTCAAAAAAGAACACCAGAAGCCCTAGGAGTGCGGATATAAACAAAAGCACTCCTATGGATGTCACTCAAATGGTTGTGTAAAAAAGCTGCTTGTTGTTAAAATATCTGTGTATTTGAGTGATCAGATGAGATGAATTTGAAAATTGAGATGATCCCCTGACAAAGTTGTTTGCGGCTTTGCTCACTACCGCTTCTCGTACTCTGATTCGATTAAGCTGAGTAGCATTCAGTGTGATTTTGTTTTTTTTCACCAACAGCCTCTGCCGTGATTTAACATACTGAGTTGGTTTGAAAAGCCACAAATGAAGGCCCACAATTGCCAACAGTGTGGAACAGCACAAAAGTAAATCTCTTATCTTAAAGTATAGGGATTATAGACGCTCACAGATGCCCCAACATTGGTAGATGGCCGAAGTTCGGCCCGGTGTGTCAGAGCCTTGAAACTTTGTGATTCCCAATAATAGGTTATTATTAGGTTAGTATGCCTATGCAAAATGTTTTTAGGAAGATCCTCAGATTTTTTTTAGATTTATCTTTTAGTATGTTCTAAACCATTGTTCAAATTTGTCACATCAGTGTTACGTTGGCAGGACCACAGCAGCAGCCGCCAAGTCATTTGACGATCTAGGTGGGAACCTTGGAGATGATAAAGCAAAAAACTCTGGGGAAGAAGATAAGCTAGTTACATGCATTAATGGGACATGAGTGTGTGCAGAAAGAGGGAGGTAAAGAGGAGCTCAGTGCATCGTGGGAAGTCCCTTGGCAGTCTAGGCCTAACTAACTAAGATTTATCAAAGAGGAAGGTATTAAGCTTGCTCTTAATGGAACTGGCAGCTGGTTCCACAGGGGAGGAGCTTGGTAGCTTAAAGCTCTGGCTCCATTATACTTTTGGAAACTATAGGAACCACAAGTAGCCCGACAGGACCTCTGTGAAACAATCAAATATGACGGCCACTTTTTCATTCAACCTTGAGCTTCCTCAACCATTGCGGCTCTCTATGCCTGCAAAGGTACACCTTCAAGTGAGTAGCCCTGTAGTAATGGAGATGCAAATCTCTGCCAGGCCAGGCTGGGCTGATGCACTGCGACAAACCAAGTTGAGACAAGCTAGCATATGTGTATGGAAAAACGCTTTAAGACATGATGGTACCTGACCATGGGAGCTTTGTAGTTGAGGAGCAGGATTTCAAATTCTATTCTGAATTTTACAGGTGCAGAAAAGCTAATAAGGGAGAAATGAATGACAAATTACATTTTTCAATCAATCAGTCAGTAGTATCAGCAAACGTCATTTATGCTATTAAAATATTGAAGTTCTGTACCCAGCCCTAGGCAAGCTAAAATGAGCCAACTAACACATCCCCTCCAATAGTATTTTGCTAGTGTTAACATTATCAAGAAAGCAAGTTAAGATTAGTCAGCCAGTTGCAACCAAGCCACGCTGAATAACGTTATCCGGTGCTGGCCATCCCACAACACAAGTAAGTAATGTCACAGAATTAATGCAGGCTTCTGGTGCTGTGGAATGGCTGGAACCAGATAATGTTAATGGCTGAGTTGCAGCTGGTTGGCTAACCTTAACTAGCCTGCATACTAACATTATCGCAAGCAAAATTCTATCTCAATGGATGTGTTATTTGGCTAACTTTAGCTTGCCACATTACATCAGCAGCTAACGAGATCCATGATACTATGTATTATGACAGTGTAGATTTTAGCCAAAAATATATTATGTAATTGGACAAGTTTAACGATTGCTTTCTTCTACTAGTTGAGCGATGCAGGGCAGAAGCGACCTGGTAGCATAGGAACATAACAGAGTAAAGCACTGTAAATATGATTTATTTATTTTACAGCATTCAATGTTCATTTCAGTATTCAGTCTTATGTATGTCATGTCACTGTTGTGGCCAATGTCTATGATCGTGCAAGCACTGCAGTAAAGACTGCAGCAAATGTAGATCTCTTTCTGCCACCAGAAAGGTGTTGCCCACAAAATATGTCATCACTGTTTACAAACACAAAAAAGGCTATAAGATACGTATAAATGTGGATGTCTTTTCATATAGTTGTATTTTGGTGTATAATTTATATATGTACATATGCATTAATGTATGGCTGTAGGGTTCCATAGCATGGCTGACAGTATTTCATAAAGTCTTCCATTTCTTTTTCTGTTGATCTCAGTTGAAACAGACCGACAAGAGCATACCTCATCAGTGTCCAGTGTGTGGGAAGTCTTTCAGTCGGATCTGTAGTCTAAGAAGACATGAACTCACTCACACTGCAGAGAAACTGTACCACTGTGAACAATGTGGCAGCAGTTTCAACCAACTAAATGCATACAAGCTACACCTGCATACCCATGCTGAAGAAACACCATACTGCTGTGACCAGTGCGGGAGGAATTTCAGCAGCCAAAGTTCATTTAGAAAACACATGACTGACCACACTGGACCATACCAGTGTGACCAGTGTGAAAAGACTTTCAGTTACTTAAGTATTTACAAGATACACATGCGTGTCCACACAGGAGAGAAACCATACAGCTGTGACCAGTGTCCAAAGCATTTTAGTTTTTTAAGTTCATACAAGCGACACCAGCTTAGCCACAGTGGAGAGAAGCCATACCAGTGTGATTTTTGTGGAAAGAGTTTCACTCAGTCAGGGCATTTTAGTCTGCATCTGCGTAACCACACTGGAGAGAAACCATATGAGTGTGACCAATGTGAAAAGACTTTTAGTGACTTAAGTAGTTATAAGATACACATGCGTGTCCACACAGGAGAGAAACCATACTGCTGTGACCAGTGTGGAAGGAGTTTCTCACAGTTGGGTAATTACAAATCACACATGCGTATCCACACCGGAGAAAAACCATTCCGCTGTGAACTATGTGAGAAAAGTTTCTCCATTTCAAAAACGTACAAACAACACTTACATACCCACACTGGAGAGAAACCGCACCAGTGTAAAGAGTGTGGGAAAGGTTTCGGTCGACTAAGCAACTATATGCGCCACCTTCGTATCCACACTGGAGAGCAACCATACAGCTGTGACCAATGTGGCAAGTGTTTTAATAGTTCATACAGTTACAGCCGACATCTGCGTGTCCACACCGGAGAGAAACCATACTGGTGTTCACAGTGTAAGAGACTATTTACTCGATCACAGTCCTTAAAGAACCATCGCTGTGTTGAAGTAGATGAAGACAGTCTGACTGTATCTAATAAAGAAGTACAATTGAGCTGCTCCCCAACAGAACCCAAAAGTGACAATCAAGAACCAACATAATAAATCAGTGTGTATGTTCTTGGTAATAAAAGAACATGTCACCCAGTGTAACGGTGTGTCAGTGATGTTTTTAATATGGTCTTTTCATAGGAACTTCTGATATTAAGTCAAATATAGATTATATCACCATCACTAGAGATCTGACTGAAATTATAGGAGCTGAAAAAATAATGAAATAGCACAAAGTTATTTAATTAAACTTACAAAGTGAGTTAAGCCATTTTATATTTGGTTAGTTTAATTTTTTTCTTACCATTAACTGCTGAATTTGTTTGCCAGCTAGCTTGCCAGTATTAATCCCATCTAATGTTAACATTTGTTACCAAAATGTGTTAATATTGATTACTCAAAAGGACTCAGATTACTATAGAAATGATACCATTAAGGCTCTTACATAATGATTCCAAAGTCAGGACTTGTGTGTAAGGACCAGCCAGTCTAGCACTGAGCCCCAGTCTTTCTGTTAAGGCTGAGGTTCTTTGCCGTTTATCAACCACTCATAGCAGTATCAATCAATCAATTTGTGTCCATCATTTAAGAACACAACCTATGGATACTATAGATTCATTAAAACAACAAGAACTGTCCTTTGTGATAAGATTCAATCTGGAGGAATATAGCTTTGCTTTTTAGTTACTTCTAAGTTTATTTTAGACGTAAAGAATATGCTTATTTAATAGATTTGTGTGACGTATATTTAGTTGTTATTAATTAATTCTCCGTTGTTTTAGTCTTTAATATTCAAATGGCAAAATATGCCAAAAAATGGAAAGTTAATGATTATGTACCAGCAACAAACAAAAGCCTCTTTGGAAATTGGAAAATGTCTTACTTTGCTGTCTGCCAGATTGAAACAATGTACACCACTGGAAAGCGTATTCTCATGTCATGGTCCTCTGGATCAGTGTAGTAAGATGCGTTAAATTTAGCCACGGCATTTACAATACTGATTCTATGCAGTTATTTTTGTAAAATGGTATGCTAATCACAGATCTTTAACCTTGTCACATGCTTCACGTTTTTCATCAATCCAGAAATGTCTACTTCATCTCATTAATCACAATCAGAAACTGCCATTGTTCCTGCTCATCCCTGGCCTTTCAATGTATAGATAATAGGGCTGCAGCGATCGAATATTTTGGTAATCGAGTA